GAATATCCCTTATCTAAAATGCTTGGAACCAGAGGTGTTTTGGGTTTTGTGGAATACTTACATAAGCATAATGAATTGTCTTGGGGATGGGACCCGAGGCTAAACATAAAATTCAAATTCAAATTCAAATTGAAAAAGTCAATTCAGTTGTTTATTTCATTTATACCGTATTCACAGAACCTGAAGGTAAGTATATACAGTATTTTTAGTGTGCCTGGGTTTTGACTGACCATCACATGAGGTCAAGTGTGGAATTTTCCATTTGAGCCCTCTGTCAGTGCCTGATTTTGTAGCATCTGGAATTTGAGGTATGTGGATTAGAAATGTGTGACCTGTACTTCAGGGAGCACGCCTAACCAATGTGCCTTTCACTGTGCCTGTCACACAGTGAAGGAATTCAGAAGGGAACATAGACCTGATGCCCATCTTCACGGTCTTCTGGGCCAAGCTCATTTACTTATAAGAAAGGCCAGAAAGCATCTGGCTGCCATTGTTCTTACAACTACCCTGTGTTTCTAGTAAATCATGACACTCAGCAAGGAAAGGAATAAAGCAGTTTTACTTTAGAAATACTCCAAATCCATTTAATGATAAAAAAGCATAGTTTTAAGTAAGCTACTTTTTAAGATTGTGGATTAAAGCAAAAATAGCTTGTTTTTGAAACAGAATTGGGACTAAAATATAAGAAACAATGTTAGCCTACATGCCGGAGTCTCTGTCCGGCAAATGTGGCTGGACTTCCCTCCTCCTCTTGGCTGTGAGCATCCTCACTGTAATGCCCTCTGACTAAGTGACAAGGAAGTAACTTGAATTGTCTGTTTCCTCCGAGCAGATGGCTCCTTGTTTTTCACAACATATGATTGTAAAATCAGTAGGATATTTTAAGAACCCGCTGAACAAACACACCAACTTGTTTACCTAAAAGTGCTGAATGAACAACCCATTCCACCTGGCCCCCACACCCCACTTTCTTCCAGACGAAGGTTGAGATGCTGTAACTCACTCTACCATGCTATTGGTGAGGCTTCTCCAAGGGAATACAAAATGTTAGTCTTTGATGTTTTCAGGTCAATATGATTTTTAAATGTACTGGTTTTCTTTTGTAAGATTCATGGCTGTGACGATGGGGTTCATCCATTCCTTTATTCTAGAGGCATTTATTGAGTTGTGCCATACGCAAGATACCCTGCTAGGCAAGTTCTTTTCAATCTGCCTAGACTTGAAACTAAGTGACTTTCACTGTCTCCCCAAAGTCTAGAATAATTCCTGGCATCTAGTAGAATCCTAATACATTTTTCAATGAATGAATAACACACTGAGACAAGCCATCCAAGTATTTCCCCCACGAGGAATTCATATTGTGATAAGAAGCAGTATAAAGACCTTCACCCTTGGCAATTTTTATCTGCCCACTAATTATTTCCAGGATAGTTATTTTCAGATAGTTCCACAGGACTGACACAGCTTCACAGGAAATCAGTTAATTAACCACCAGATGTTGAATGGACGCTTACTTTGTGCAATTCTCCCTTCTTAGACAACTGGGCCATTCAAGGGAGTGAGATATAGTCTCTGTTTCCAAAGAGCTTCTACATGAACATAAAGTTAATAATATAATACAGTACTGAGTCCAAGAAGGTTGTTGGCATCCAGAAGAACTAAAAAGAGGTCATAGGAACAATCTCGGGCAATTACAGATGGATGACTGGGATTGGGCCTTCAAGCCCACATGGAGAATGAAAGAAAGGGCATAATAGGAATATAGACGTGTGTGTGTGTGTGTGTTAGAAGGTGAGGGGAGAATGGCATGAACAGAGTAAGGAAGAAGGCAGAGCACAAAAGGATGCCAAGAGTTCATTGCATTTAGTGCAATTTGAGTCAACTGGATAACTTTATTGAAGGAATACTATGTACCAGCCATTGTAAGAGGTAGTAGATATACAATGGTTAACAAGACTGATATGGTCCCTGGATGGCTAGCCAGCAGAAGATACAGATGAGTAAACAGACGATTACAATACAGTGCGATAAGTGCTTTGGTAGGAAAAGTCCAGGTGTTATGAGAAGGACATAGATTGGACCAGTAAAGAAGAGGAAGTCGGGAAAGTTCTTGGAAGAAAAGATCTGAAATTGACACCTGAAGTCAAAGTAGAAATTAGGAGGAAATGTGAAGGTAGCTTGTACGGCATCTACCCTAGAAGAGCGAGCACGAAGGGCCCCGGGATCTGAAGCTGGCGGAGCTTGCTGAGCACAGTGGGAAGGAGAGCTGGGGAAGGGGCCGCGGACAGAAGCAGTGGACAGATTTGGCATCTCTCATTTCCCAAGGATCTTGGACTTTATCATAAAAGCAGTGGTGACTCTGAGGAATCTTAAACAAGGGAATGAAACAAACAGGCCTTTTAGGTAGATAGCTATCTGCAGTGTGACATGTCCCCGAGAGGGGAAATGGATGACAAGAACAAAAGAAAAATATGGAGTTCTTGAAGGTGTATCCCCAACACAATGCAAGAGCTAAATGAAGAATGAGTGAATGAATGAATGAATGAAATAATCAACCAATCAATCATTTAGAGCAGAACTGAAAATATGAGACTTGAGGTGGAGGTAAAATTTGTCTGTGTGCACATAAGGGTGGAGGGAAACACTGGAACACTGATGTGTCCTCAGCTCTTGCATCTCAACAGACAAATGATCACAACAGGTGACAGTGGAGTGTGGCGGTGCAGTGGAAGCTGCTTGAATATTGGAGTCCAGAGACCTGGCCCAAGCCTTAGTTTGGCCATTTATTAATTGTGAGATGCAACTTAATTTCTTGGACCCTCAGGCCCCACATCTATTATGCCTGCTTTTTTCTTATACAACAGCAGAGCAGCATCACACTCTGTGTATGCTTCTGTTTGCAGGAGGAACATGGGATCTGGGCCAGGATCAGCAGCCCATTGGCGTTTCTGATTCATCCACCATAAAAAGCAGCTAGTGCAACTTGCATGACAGTGGTATTGTGGTTTAGTTGAAAGGAACTAGTAGCCAGTGTTGATCAAACTGGGCAGGTGACTCTCTTGTCCGTGGAAAGCCTGGCAGTGAAGTGAAAGAGGTGGGGGAAGGATAGGAAGAATCCATCTGCAGCTGTTTCCAATGAAAGCACTGGGGACAGAAACAAATGGCACAGCTGGAGCCTGGGAGTCGGTGAGGGGGCCAAGGGCAGCTGGAGGGGGCTGAGGGACAGACACTGTCTACACTAGGACTCAGCTCCCCAAAGCTCACTGCCCTTTCATGAGTTCATCTTACCAAATTAATGTTGCCAACACAAGATCTTAGAAAGCAGAACTTAGGCAAGGTCGAAGCCAAGAGGCCTTCTCACAGATTTGGGCTGTAGCTAACAGCCCAGGGCCAGATGACTTATGGAAAGAGAGGACAAGGGCGGGAATCATGGGTGCAGGAGTGGTGTCCTCCTTGGATCTGGAGATTTGGAAAGAGGAGAAGCCTGCTTGGAGTATGAAGTGGAGAAATGCAGGAAGAATTATAATGTACATGGATCCAAGCATGTTAAACCAACAAATGGGGGGGGGGGTGATGTGGACAGAAGGTGAAGAACAGCCCTGTGAGAAGGTTCTGGAAGTAGGGCTAGTGAACCAACCTAGAAATACTTTTTGCCATGGGTTTCAGAAAACAGGGCAGGTCTGCATTCCTTGGTACCCTCAGGAGATCGAAGAGATGAGGCCCAAAGTGACTTTCACTGTGAACACTGAAGTCCCCCTCCTTCCAGCGTCTCCCATCTCATCCCCTGCCACTTCCCCAAACTCTCCTGTAAGTTCACACCATCTGGTCCATCCTAGGCAGTGAGTTGCTTTTTCTCTGCCGAAAAGTTGGACACAGGGCAACATCAGTGAACCAAGAAGAAATCCATTAAAACAACAGCTTCCTTAAGAAATGTGGCTTTCAGTTTGTGGACTGCAGTCCCAAGTCTCTCCGTCATCTTCATCAGATGATTCCATAGAGTTTTTATGAAACGATAGCTGAGGGGCTGGGGTTGTGGCTCAGTGGCAAAGTGCTTGCCTTGCACATGTGAAGCACTGGGTTTGATCCTCAGCACCACATAAAAATATAAACAAAATAAAGATACTGTGTCCCTCTATAACTTAAAAAAAAAATTTAAAAACCCAATAGTTGACTAAATTATTTTCTATCAACACAGAGTCATCCCTCCACAGTTGGCTCTCATCTATCCTCTGCAAATCAATCAATCAACCACCACAAAAAGGCCACTTCCAGTTTTTCCTGGAAATTCCAATGCAAGGGGTCGTGAAATCAAGTTGACTAAATAATTCATTCTCTGCAGTGACAGCTGAAATGGCTTGGCCAGGCATCAGGGTCACTGGTTATCTTGTGCTCTCTACACACCAATAATAATCCATCCAAGAACATCTAAGGCAGACATCAGAGTCTCTTCATCAAGACTGAAATCCGTGTGTCTCCTGTTCCCTAATACATTTCACCATCCACATTGTTTAATTGAGCCTTTTTACTACAAACGGTTTTAGGCTCTGATGCTAGACAGGAATTTGAAGCATGCATTGGAGTATTTAATGGCATTAATTTCTGGTGCTCACAGATTTCTGATGCCAACTTCACGCCACAATCCAATAATCTTGCAAAATAAAGAAAATACCAGAACATGAAATGCAACACAGAATTCTCCAGCACCGCACGCAAAGTAGTTCCCTGTCATGCTGATGCTGACGAGTCATAACATACTTGCCTATATACAGATCCTTAGATGTCACAATCAATTAAGAAAATAAAAGGAAGAATAAGATAGGCACTTCCAGATTGAAGAACTGCTCTAACTTTTCCAATCCAACGCATTTATTTGGCAACCGAAAGCTCTTCAATACATCCCAAGTTAATTTTAAACTCTCATCTAATTATGACAGATGATATGTAGTCCTTGGTGTGTGGTTTCATTTTAATCGGAAGGCATAAATTTAAATGATTCCTACCTGGAAATATGGACGGTCTCTTTTTGGGGCGCCTCAGGTGAAAGGGTTCCAAGTTCTTAATGTTTCTTTGAAGTTTTCCTCTAATGTCATTTCCTATGAGTAGTTCAGGTGGCAGGCTGCTCCGTCTGGATGATTTATGATCATTTTGAGATGAATTTAGTTTGTTCTTCGTTCTGGAATATAAATTGCTGTCATCAACTGCCATCGTAGTAGATTCATTGGAGACTCGGAACAAAATTCCCAAAAGCCAAACCCAGAGGCAGCCTCTGCCACAGCCTCCTCCGCTCAGACTCGGAGGTTCTCATGCTTTCCCTGGCACTTGTTTGGGAAGAATAGCAAGTTGATGGGCGTGGACTGGAACAGGTGTAGAATTACTAAGTAGCCACTCCTCTCAACAGTTAATAGCACAGGGGAGAAAGATCCCCCCAAAATCATTAGGTACAGAAGACTGGGGAATCTGAACAGAGGTAACACACACATCCGTGCTTTTGTGGATGGCAATAAAAGTGGTGTCATGCTTCTAGTATGAAATACCTGTCTTAATGGTGCAATAAATTAAAAAAAAATAAATAAAAGCAACCACAACTCACTATTTAAGAATGAATGCCAGTGCAAATTGTGAGACTGGTTTTTGTTACTTCTTAAACTCTTATTGGAGATTTTGAACCATTTGAGGAAGCATTTTTTTACATTCTCTTCTATCTTTGTGTTTCAAACCACATACATACAAATGTCCTTTTTTATTCTTATCTGGCCAGCAGCCAAGGAGCTGGCTGGAAGAGGGAGATGAGAGATGGCGGGTGATGACCAGGAAGGAACCGGTTGTGGGTGTGTGTCAGGCAGCAGTGCTGGGAACCCAGGATTGCGCTGACCCACCCTCCCATCCTGAGCTCCACCTGGCAGATGGCTTCTCCAGAAGTTCACCCTGCCTGGCAGAGGGGCTGGAGGTCTAGAAAACAGGCGTTCACTGCTGACAGGATGAGGGCCCCCATGCAAGAGATTAAAAAAATAATAAATGCTGTTATCCTGTGGGGAGGCTGCGTAGCTTCCAGCTAAAATGGTCAGTTGGTTTGGTGGTCTCAGAAGAACCAGCTTCCTGATTGACCTGGGCACATATTTTCTTTCTTTTCCTTTTTTGTGTCCTTTATTTCCTTCTCCCTTGCTCTATGGTATGTGGCAATGTCCTACATTCTTTTTCTTAACTGACTGCAGAAATCATAATTCTATCATTTATCTTCCCCAGCCATGCCCCAGGGCTGTGTCCAGGCAGTCTCTCTCCAGGGGGCAGGCGCGAGCACACACACACACACACACACACACACACACACCCCTCTCCTGCTGTCTGGCTGCAGTGTGAGTCAGAAGATAAAGAAGATGAGATCTGTCTTTTCCCAGTGCTGGGGATCAGCAGACACATATATTTTATTGTAAAGGATTTGTGTGTTGTTTTAGAAATCACTGTTTATTTGTGTTTCCTGGATGCAAAGCAGCTTGTATTAAATTAAAATGTGAGAGCTGGATCTCTTTACCTAGTCAAAGACACATTGCTGTGCTAACAGAAGTTTTATTCTCTATCTTCCTTATGTCCTTTCAGAAACAGGTCTTCAAAGTAGGACAGATTTCTGAAGAGAAAAGCATGTTTTTACGAATAGGTCCTGATTAGAATTGCTATGATAATTTAGCAATCATTTTCATATTAGATCATTAGGTTATTATTTTTTTTAACCAATTCTTAGAATCACCTGTATTGGTCCCTCCCAGGACTTAGAACTACTTTGTCCAACTGAAACGTATCATGAACTTCTAAAACCAAACAAGTGACTTGTATACCACCATTTTTTCAAAGCCCAGGAGACTGCTTGAAACTCCTTTACCTTATTGAAAATATATTTTTCTTCTAGTAAAAAAAATAAAGAGTAGAGCACTTAAGAAAGTTTGAAGTAATGACTTTATAGGGAAAAACAATACATTCCCATACCCAAACCCCAAGAACTGTGTTTAATTTTTCAAACACATAACAAGGTAGAGTCTTAGGGCATAAAAGGCTAGACGCCAAAAAGGAGAAATGTGGCAACAGTCAGGCACATTGTTCAGTGACTTTCTTTCCCAATCCACAGTATTATCATAAGGCTAAATAAGAGCATATATGAGATGAAATAGAAGTCTCTTAGGAAAAGTATTATCACACATAGAGTGTGCATCAGTTACATCTGTATTTTGTGCACATATAATTTAGCTTCTGTCTTTAAGAGGCTGCTGGAAGCACAGAGTGAAGTACCTGTGCATCTGGAACGCTTCGTAATAACAGCTGTCATTCACCACATGCTTAATGGCAGCCAGGTCCTATGCTAAGCCTTTTGCATGCATTATCTCACTGATTCCTCCTAAACCCTGTTTTATAGATGGGTGCACTGAGACACAGAATCAAACATCTAGGAATTGGCAGGAATGGATGGAGAGAAATTAAACACAAGATTTTATTTGACTATAAAACTCTTGTTCAAGTTTATGCTTTAAACTGCACCAATATACTACTTGTTAGATGTGCATGACATCTACAGGGAATTAAAAATCCTTCTCTGGTTTCCTAAAATGATTCTTAACCGCAGCAACTGTAACTAGGACTTCCCTGTGTAAGGGAGCTGTCAGAGGGCTTTGAGGTACCTGGAATGAAAGTGGAAAAAAGCAAAAGGAGAACTCAGAACTTTGTAGGTGTGTACCAGAAAGTAATTGCTTTAATAGTAAACGCTCCATGTTAAGGCTTTTCATATTAGAATACACTTTTATATAACAGCATTATATTTTCCTGAGATTTAGATTACCTACACTATTTTGGAGGTAATTTTAGTGCCCTGATCCTCTAAAAATTAAATGATGTAAGAGAGGGTCAGAGGGATTCATGAGGTGCACTCAATCCCTCTCCTGTCCAATGCAATTCCCCCTCAAAAGGAATATAAATCAGATAGGAATCTAGTTCATTTAAAATATTTCCTAAAGAGAAAAGTGAGGAAAGTTTGAATTCACTATTATTAAAAAGTTAGGGTTATATAAACAAAGAATAATTTTTATTCATTCAAAAGTGGCATTAAGTCTATGAAAAAAAGTAAAGCAAACCATCCTTTAAAAATATTTAAATTGGCTGCAACATGAATAGCAATCAACCAGAGAAAATTCAGCTTTCTTTGGTCTTAACAAGAGTATTCATCGGTTGCAATGTTAAGTCTGCCTTCTCTCTTTATAGTAACAGCCAAAAGGAATTTCACTCTTTTTCCAGACAGTCAGAAATCTGAGCTTAGAGGTACCTTAACATTAACAGCATAATTAAGTAACTATAAGTGTATAATTAGACATTTTCTATTTTAATAAGCATTGTGTTTTAAAGGTGTCCATTCTCCTATAAGTTCAATAAATTGATCTCTTTTGAAATACTCTTATTTCTATCCTTTGAGAAGCTGTGTATTTTATATTGAACAATGTTGTCCTCCCGTGGCATTTTATTCTTCCCATAGTGAGACATTATCTTGTTTCTCTTAGAATGTTCAGCCCATCAAAGACATTTCTTGAGTTTGTAGCTATGGATTCCTGTGTGTGGGTAGCTAGTACAGAGAATTTCTCAATTATTTTGCTTTTTTATTGAGAGAGAGACAGCTGCAACTGTATTGAAAATGATACAACTTCACAATTGTAGACTTCTTTCTCATTGTCACCTTTACAGAAATGATCCACCCATGGAAGTTTCAGATCTGTTGGGATTCACCAAATTAGCTTCTGAATTTTGATCTGACCCATATGTGATGCACATCGGCAAATATTTCTTATTTTTTTTAACTATTTATTCAGTTAAACTATTTATTTATTTATTTAACTATTTAAACAGAGACGGCCTATTATCCAGTGGGTTTGCCATCAGAAGAAAATAATAGTATAAAATGTCAGAATGATGAATATCATCAAGTTGGGCAGTTCAATGGATTTCTGTCTCTGAAAAGTTGCCAGCCACCTCTTATTGGCTGCATAACTTTTCTTAGTATGGGTAACAATGCCTCTAGTAATATCTGTGGTGTGTTTATGGCCAAGGACAGCTTTCCTCAGTTCCTAAAAACATCATTAAGATGTTCAGTACTTATCTCATTGGCTTTCAATAGCAGTGAACACTAATGACTAGGGCTTCCCTCTTAAAATTCTCTGCTCCTTTGGCTCTCCATAATACTATCATTGTGTGTGTTTCTTCCTCTGTTTTGGGTCCCTTCTGCTCAGGTTCTTCAGGGGCTCCTTAGAAGTATCTTTTCCTCCTATCCTGTTTTTGGCAAGCCTATAATGAGCATCTACAATGCATCTGACACCATGCTAAGTTCAATGTCTGGACTCGGGAATCTCTTCATCTAGGAAGGAAGCAGACCTATAATAAACAAGTTACTACAGCACAGGGTGACCAGTCTGTGCAAAGGTGACACTGCAAATCTACTTGTTACTTTTTCCTGATAGACAGGAGATGGGAACAAAAAGGTTCTCAGAGAAGGACTGAGTTCACAAGGCAGATGAGGGGGTCTTGTGCACAGGTACTAGGCTGTGACAAGCACTAATGTCCATGGATGGCAAGAAGTTGCCATCCGTGTCCACAGGCTCCACATCCACAGACCCAGGCAGCTGTGGATGGAAATTTTTTTCCAGTGGCATCTGCACTGAACATGTACAGACTTTTCCTTGCCATTATTCCTGACACAATGCAGTATGATAATTATTTACACAGCACTTACATGCATCAGGTATTACAAGTCATCTATAGATGTTTTAAAGCATCTGACAGGATGTGCACAGGATCTATGCAGGTTCTGTGCCAGATTATATAAGGGACTGAGCATTTGTGGATTTTGGGATCTGTGGGGGTCCTCAAGCCAAACACATGCAGATACTGAGGATCCACTATACAGCAATCCTCCGTCTTCAGGGGGGTCTTGGCAAAGAAAGCACACGCATTGGAAAGACAAGATGGAGCACTTCCAGAGAACAGGGGCTATATGAACAACAACAGGTAGTGGTATTATCTGTTTTTTAACATCAGCATAAATTACCTATCTGGAAGATACCTACTTAAAAAGTTAATTTAAAAAAA